GTACTAAAGTTGTACTACAAAGTCGCCAGTTCTCAGCTTCCAGCTCCACAGATTGCTCCGCGTACTAAAGTTGTACTACAAAGTCGCCAGTTCTCATCTTCGCGCCCTCGACACGCACGATCTCCGCAGAGGGTTGCGCGCACAGCCAGCAAATCGCACTCTCGCCTGCATTTCGCGCACTCGACACGCACGATCTCCGCAGAGGGTTGCGCGCGCAGCCGGCAAGTCGCACTCTCACCTGCATTTCGCGCACTCGACACGCACGATCTCCGCAGAGGGTTGCGCGCACACCGGACAAATCGCACTCTCGCCTGCATTTCGCGCACTCGACACGCACGATCTCCGCAGAGGGTTGCGCGCGCACCGGACAAATCGCACTCTCACCTGCATTTCGCGCACTCGACACGCACGATCTCCGCAGAGGGTTGCACTTTCGGTTGACGCTGTTCGTCCCGCACTCCGCCTTTAAGAGAGAATTTATAAAGTGGGGAAATGTTTTTTCATTAGGACATCTCCCGTGCTAGTTTTCCATACTCACACTTGCCTACTCATTGCATGCTTGCATAGTCATTGCGTGCTTGCATACTCACCCTTGCATATCATGCTTGCATACTTACACTTGCATACTTTGACACTGGCATACTTCGCACTTGGATGCTTTCGCTCTTCCAGTGTGTGTGTGTGTGTGTGTAAGTGTGAGTGTCGAAGTGTCAGTGTTCATAAGTGTGAGTGTCGAAGTGTCAGTGTTCAAAGGATTTTCCGGAAGAACCCTTCGCAATGCTTTCGGGAAAAAGTAGCTCCACTTGCAATGAGTACATTTTCGGGCTTTGGAAGAAGCAGCGCCAAATGTATATCGATGCGAAGAAGAACAAAAGCGGATGGCCTGACGCGTCACTTTTGGTTTGATGATTGAACATGTAGTTGCAGGCTGACAGCGCCTCAACTTCACAACTTTGGACGATGCAGCTGGTTGACCAGAAGAAAGATGTGTTTTTGTTTGGTCGTTTGCATTTGTGTACGTGTGTGCATTCGGGTTCGTGGCCTCCATCTTGAACTCTTTTTGATTTTGAGTTTCTGTTTCTTTCTTCTGTCTTCTCCAGGGTGCTTTTCTGCGGTGCACCCAGCTCTTTTGCTATCCAAATGTCGCTCCAGGCTAGAGTGCCTCCTCTCGTGGCCATTCTGCTTGTTGCCCAAACACGTGAGCAAAACCATGCAAACCCATCTACCTCGCTCCCATGGAAAGTTTTGGTATATGGAACAATCGTTTATCATCTACCCTTTCGGAGCCTGCTTGTGGACAATGACAACTTCAAACAGTTTACCGCAGTACCCTTTGATGTTTCTACATTTGCATTTGGTATCATTTATATAGTCCTTCAAGACCATCCCCAACCTCGAGCTCTAGCCGGGAGTGCTGAGATCATGTATTCCTATCCGTTCTATCCAAAATTTGCAAGCAAAATGTGCATCGTTTTATTCATCGCTACTAGGAGAAGAACGCTACTAGGGGCTCCTGACCTTACTACGAACGGAACAAGAAGCATTTTGTTCACTGGAATCTTGCACAACATGTTTCTATTTCGGTGCCCGGGTGTCGGTCAGGTCGATGCGCATGCACGTGGACGTGTCACGTATAACGTGTCACCTCTCTCCTCCATTCGGAAAATATGAGGCATGTCACCATAGTCGGCAAGTGGAACCCGATCACATCGAGCCTGCCAAATGTGAGAAAAGCTGAGATGCAAATTGCAAACTAAAACGCGCAGCAGTTCTGACAAAGAAGAAATAGCGAATGGAGCAGTTGGACGAAACAAGTAACAAGCTGTGTCTGATGAGCCTCCCAAGTTGTTCAAAAAAGGGTTATGAGTCATAATGAGAATCAACACAAACATTTCCAATCCCAAAGCTTGATGCCACGTCCAGCATGTTTCTCGAGAAGGGAAGAAAAAAACCGGTCTAAAGCCTTGAAAAGCCGAACACGAACACGAACCAAAAGCACACACATTCATAAAATCACATGTCACATACACATATTCCCCTTCAGGAAGTCTGTTGAGGAAGTACTGGGAAGAAGTGTTGAATAGTTGCCATGGTGCCCACTAAAGATTCAGCATCTATGTGGCCTCCCCTCTCTCAAGGCCACATATGTTCAAAATTCCTGCAAACGGAGGAATTACAATCTGTAAAAATGGTTTCCGTAAGTGGACAGCCTCTAGCCCAAACCGGCGACTGTAGAACGACTCGCTCACCCAAAATTGGTTTTGATTATGGGCGCATATTTCCACAAAGGTGCTTCACCTTCAAAATCGAATTCCCAACGCAATGAAACCTGGCTTTGAACCGGAGCAAGTTGATCCACCAAACGGAAGATTCACCGGAGAGTGGATGGAACACGCGGGGAGAAAGCTTGGGAGACAAAAAACATCAAGACAGTAAGAATCTTTTGTATATGTTTCGAGCTGAAAAAAGAAGCACAAACAAAACAAAAAAAAGCATTAACGTGTTACCCAGTTCTTACGCACCTGAAGCCCCAACGCTGTAAAAGGAAACTGCCTTCTTTAGAGTGCAGTCGAAGAGAATCTTTGGAAAACTGTGCCATGCACCAAAGCTCTTTACACCTCGGCGTCTTTTATCTGAAGGTGCTTTTGCAAAAATGGTAAGAACATGTAAGAACGATAATGACACCAGTAAAGCGCACAACTTAGGTGCAAACGCAACTCCTCTACAAAGCCTTCCACTGTGTTGGAATACTCCATGATATGCACGATTTTGTCCTGGCACGTGCCCTCCACTGACTGAACATACTTGCATCCAGCAAAACCGAAATCGCATAAAGCCAAAGCTTGTTTGAACCTAGCCACTTCGTTTGTTTCAAAATGTCTTAGCCAGTTTGAAGAAAACAATAAATGCCGCGAATGACTGAATGTAGCATTGTAGAAATAGGCTGCACTTGCGTGTTACAAAACATTCTTGGTCTTGTGTCTCTCTAAACACGTTGAGTAAAGCCAAACTGAGCGTGGAATGTGGCGCCACAGCTGAACAGGGAACCATTCACCGAAATCGCACGCTTTCGAACGTTCTGGGAACGCCAGAGCCGTGAAACGCCGAACTCTGCGCGGTGAGCAACTTGGGAGTCAGAACTATCGGAAACAGGCACATCAGTCAAAGCACAAATTCGTGAAGGAAGGTAAGGCCTTTTTTTTGAGTCCCTACTTTCCTTGTTCAAACTTTACCTTTACCATTTTCATGACACATCTGTGTGCCCTTTCTTCAAATGACCAGCTTCGATTCGATCGACAAACCAGAAGTTCTCCAATCTGAATGCAGCAATTTTGCTGGCACACGATGACTACTTCATGGTTTGCTGGCTCCAGTAATTCTCAAAAACTTATGGTAGAAACAAACGATTTTAATGACGTTGATGCAAAACAACAAAATTAAAAGAAATAGAAAATAACACGAACCCGGAAAAAAACACCAGCTATACATTATATGAACAGGTCAAAGGGTTAAAAGGTCTAATGTCCAAAGACAAAGGAACAGCCATAATAAAAACATCAATATAAAGAAACGCCATGATAGACACATTTGTATAAAGGACTTGTCATAACTTGTGGGCTCCGGCTCCAACGATTCTTTCCTCCCTTTTTGCTCTCGACATTTTCGCGGTCGGCCCGAACACTGCGACTCGATTGCAACGTCAAAAAGAATGTGGCGCTTACGTCCCAGTCCTGCTTTGTGCGGGGAACGCCAAACTCATCCACGTGGCTCACCTGAATCAAGCTGTTCAAGATTGTCTTTTTTGCTATCTAAACCCTTTATACTCTTCCTATCTCTTCTTTATAATTGCGTTCATGTCCTTTCTTTGTCACACGGTTGGGAAAACGGGAAATTCCTCTGCATGCGGCTGCCAAACTGCTCTTTTATGCTGAGCCCAACGCATCGTCCAAAATGACAAAGTGATGATATAAATGAAACAGTTCCAAGGATCCCATCAAACTGACCTTGGAACACAGAAAAGGCATAGCTGGCCTCAACTATGGGGCCATGACCTCACTTGCCTACTTCTTTCTCTTTTCAGAATTTCACTCTCTTCACGAAATCCGCCCAAGGCACAAAATAATCGATATTTGGGCTCAAGCAGCGCAAAACATTTAAAGTAATCATGCCTCAAACGAAGAGCAAGTGGCCACTCGTGTCTGCAGAAAACTCGTGCAAAAACTTCAATGCTGTCAAGTTTGCAATGATCGCCACCTGGCAACTCGGGGATGCAACAAGGTTTGATGTATAGATATAGTATAGTCGTTGAAAACAAAAGCGTTTCAACTTTCAAGAAAAGCTGCAAAGTGGAGTCACTTTGCAACTCTCAGCTTGCTGCGTCTCAGCTGTGTGACCGAAGCGATCTCACGGAAAACGGACTTCCTGGTGGCGCTGGGCTTTCCAAGTGACGTCCGACGCTGCACCGTGGCGCACACATGAGGGTAGCGTCCCAAACACTGAAACGAAAGACGACGGCCTGCGTTATTATTCTACTAGCTTCTTGTTACTAGTAGCGATGCACTTGTTCCTACTAGCTTCTTGTTACTACTAGTAAGGCACCTGTTACTACTAGCGAGGCACTTGTTACTAGTGCTGCATATAATATTCACATCTAATCCATATTAGGTGTTGATTAGGGCTCCGCTTGCAGAACTTCTCGCCATCGTATGGGTTTTTAGTGTGCACATCAACTGCGTACGACTTCATCTGCGTGTGCTTTCCCAACTTCTTGTGGAGGATGTGGTGGGTTGGGGCCAAAAGATAGAAGTGATTTGATAGGTCTTCTCCTGACTCCTTAAGAAGGGATCTGTGAGGTAATGTGGCCTACAATAGCCGGTCAAGTTCGTCGAAAAGGTCAAGGATGATACCTGAAAATTTGAGTTTCGCACCACGGCGACGAACCTAAAATTGACTCCTTTCGAAACTCCTCTTGACAGGAGACCGCTATTAGGTTGGAGGATGTTGGAGGTCATTGCTAGTAGAAACAAGGGCATCACTACTAGTAGCAAGGACACTACTAGTAGCTCCTGGCAATTTTACTAGTACCAAGAAGCTACTAGTTAAGTTTCCCTAAGTACCTAGGAACCAAATGAGTTGCGCGAGCTATCCTGCGTCCAACAGGTATAAGTAGCTACTTAAACCCTTACTTAATTAAGTAGGGAGGGGGGAGCGGGCCAAAAACTAGGGAGACCATTGGTATCAGGTTGCTCCTTTCAGAACTCCTCTTGACGGTCAACAGGGGGAAGGCTGCGGCTAAAGGTTGATACTCTGGAGGCGGACCGGAGCCCGATCCGCGATGTTCAACGGGCATCCAGTACCGTTTAGCCAGGCTTCAAAGCAACATCAACAGCATCGAAAGGTTACAGTAAGTTGATGGAAGACAAATGAAGACAACCAGGCGCAAGCTGAGACATCACGAGACATCGGCACCAAACTGAATGTCTCGAACTTCGTTGTTTGAAGCGGCTCACAGCTGCTCGAAGACAAACAGTTCAGGTGGGAAAGTTTGCGGAAACTCGCCGGTATTGGGCCATCTCTTGTTTCGGGTTGGGTTCTTGAAGTTTCCATCGTTGTCCAGTCGCCTCGGCCCAATTCATAGCGACCCATCACCGGAAAAGATTTGCAGTGGGCTCAAAAAACATACAGTTCTTCAGGAAGCCACTGCCGTAGTGGACCCCTGATGTCTTCTTTCGTGTCTTCCTATGGCCTCCAACCTACTCGTTCATTCCGCCTTCCTCCTCTTCTGTAACATCCTCGGCGGGGTCTATGACACCCGGTCCAAGCGGCAAATTGGCAGTTGGTCCAGTTCTTGTTCCGTTCGTAGTAAGGCCAGGAGACCCTAGAAGCGTCCTTGCTCCTAGTAGCGATGCCCTTTGCTCCTAGCAGCGTCCTCCTACTAGTAGCATCATATTGTTGCTCGTTGCTCATCCTGACTGCATCTGTCACTGTTCCAGTTGCAATAGGTGTCTTGGGAATTCTCGGGAAGCTCTGGCCTTCAAGTTCCTCATCCGGCAGCCCTTTCTGTCGTCGTTTTCTGGAAAACACACCAACATCACTGTCTTCCAACAATCATAGAAATGTTTGGTGGACGCAACTTCGCTTGCTGGATCTCTTGCCTCTTGACTTGCCTCATGACCGATGTCGCTTTCTGGAACATCCTTGGAACAAGGTCTCTCTAAGTGCCCATACAAAGCAGGCTGGCCAATCAGTGGCTGCGCCGCCGGCCAACCCTGTGTTCGGGTCTTGTCCTCCTGCGCTTCTGCTGTCCCCGCGCTTGTCCGTGCTCTATTGTCCGGTTGTCGGCATATGTTCTTGGCTTCTTGCTGTTGTTTCGATGATGTGCTTTGTGTTGCTTGGAGGGGCCGGGAAACTGGGACGATGACATACACATACAGTACTTTCCATCCACGGCTTGATGAAGCCGTTTAGGGTATCTTCTGGTATGATTTGAGTATCAATTTTTTGTGCGGATGCAAACACACACACAGTATATATATTATATATATTATATGTGTTATTCCCTCGTGCGAGGGAGGGGAAGTAGGGAGCCCGAGTAAGATAAGCAAACTGCTGAGCGTTGTTGTAAAGCTTGCTGTAGCAGCAAGAATGGGCTTGAGAAGCTTCCCTGAAAAACCAATCTGATTGAAACAGAGTTCCTAGATGTTCCTAAATGCATTTGTAGTGCAATAACGCATTCGGTTCCACAAGTGCCGGGCTGATCCACGTAGATCCGAGGACTTAGAGGAGAAGCACGTATCAAATGAAGTAACCAGTAAGCGTCAAGTGGGGTACTGAGTACAGCACTGCGTGCAGGGCATGCACTGCAAAAACAAATCAAAACTCCGGGATTCCTGCGGCGTGGCTAGTTCTTCAGCATCACCTTGAAGTGGGCGATAAAATAGTGTTCCAACTTTCGGAAACAGTGGGAATAATAAAGATCGCTGATTAAGACTTGTCTGTATTATAGCATGATGTCAGCTAGCACGTTAGACTATCGGTGGGGGGTTAGGTTGTGAAGATAATGGTTGATGGAAACTGACTACTCTGGTGCAAACTCAGCCTGCACATTACAGCGCTAGCACCCTTGTGGGGACCACGATCGCTAGCATTTCGATTCACATGCGCACATGAAGTAGCAAAAGGCATGATCGCCTGCTACCACACTTCTTTTTTGGCTTTCTCACAAGGCAAGCTGTTGACACGTCTCATGAACATGCCATGCAAAACCTGTTTGAGATATAATATGCATGTCAATGAAAGAATGGAAGGAATGCTTTAAGGCCATAAGGCACAGCAACAAAGGCAGGAAGCAAGAGCTCTAAAAGGTCAAAAGGAACAACAGAAACGGACGAAAGGTCGAAAGGGAAAGGAAGAATAGGTCTACAGGTCTAAAGCAAACACGTGCAAAGAAGGTTAAGAGGTCTAAAGACAAACACGTCTAACGGTCTAACGTCAAAAGAAACAATATTGGTAGAACAAATGCATTGTTTCTATATAGATTGACGTTGCTATCCCTGAAGCCAAATTCTTTCGTTATGGCATCCTTTGCCCGCAAAAATGCTTTGCAAAACCCTGCCCGAACTGCAAAGAGTCGTTAGAGACTCAAGTGTTTCTTCTTCTGCGTGTTTTGCAGTTTCTCTTCCTCTCAGCCTGCGACACCAAAACGGCTTCCGTGAACGGGCGAGGTAGTGATGAATAGGCCTTGGCCACTTGAAGCGTCCAAAAGCATTGAAGGGCCCCGTTTCGCACCATCGCCCAGTTTTTCACGATGTTCCAAGTGTGAAGTGTTTTTTCTTGAAACTGCTTGATCACACAATCTTGGTATGGTGTCGGCAGCAACGATCCGTGAGGTGCGATCGCGTGCACTCGATCTGGGAACCAAATCAGTGCATGAGCTGTCCTTTAGGGTGGCGGGGGGAGCTTCCTTGAAGAAGCGTGAGCTATCCTCCATCCAGTACCTAGTGTAGATACAGGTAAACGACCGAGAACTACCAACAAGTCGCACCTGGTTTTCCTTGAGCCAAACGGTAGGTAAGTGAGACATGTATACGATATCCTAGCGTGAAACAACACCCCCCGCTGAACGAAAATGGGAGGAGTGAAGTTATGTACAGTGCACTAATTAAGGACCTACGAAGGTATCCGGTCCCCCGGTACGTGCGAAGCATCGAACCGGAACGTGCCTTGAGATGGAGAGGATGGTTGACCTCAAGGACGGATCACATAATGCACTGTCATGCATTGATGCTAGGGTTGAACATGTCTCAACTGATTCATGCATGAACGTTCAAAGCAAGCTCACAAAGATAATCTCTTTTGCGCAGCGGAACTGGGAGTGCCATGCCAACCTTTTAGAAAGCAGGAACAAAGCCATCAAGGCACACGCTCCCGCGTGGCGACAAAGCACAACAAAAGATGTGCGCTCTTCATTGCAAGGATTGAGAGCCAAGTTCATCGACCTGAACTCAAACGAATTAGTTGCTGGTTTCAGGCATCCGGTCCCCCGGTGCATCACAGAAACGGTCATCCAGGCAACCGCTCCCGCGGTGCGTTGAGGGAAAAACACAGTGCACAAAGACAGCCGAGTCACCCGTAGATTTCATTCTCTTCTCCACAGGCAACAGCTCCCGCTGTGCGTCGTGTTCACCACCTGCGCTGACTCCACCAGTCATGTCCTCGCCAGTCACTGCCACGACCGCGATCATCTTGCCACCAGTTGCGGTTGGATGAGGACCACCAGGAAGACGATGAGGATGACTGCTGCCAATCATGGTATTGATCACTTCCAGCAGCTCCTCGCCAGCGTTGCTCTGATGTCTCGGCTTGAGTACGTGTTGCTCTGGCCAGACTTTCACCTGGACCTGGTGCGGCCTTGGCCTTGGGAATCACAAGTGCCCTTGTTTCTTTCACAAGGTTGATATCCAAGCCAGGTACAAATTGAGCATCGCCCATCACGAATTCCAGGAGTTCATCCAATACATCATCAGGGTCTGTCTTCTCACTTCGCCACTCACCTCCAAATCCCAGGATTGCGGGTCGTTTCGCACCTTGACAATAGTCCGCAGCGAAAGTCTCAGGACGGTGCAGGCTGTTCTTCCAATAAATGAAGAAGTCCTCGCTCAGGTCAGCATCATTCCCTTTTGCTGGTTCGTTCATGAAGATGACTTTACCAGCGTATCGATGACCGACGCCACGAGCAATCATTTCCCTTGTCCTCGGAGGGTCAGGGATGATGGCATCTGATAGTCGTTCCAGGAACTGAATGCAGATTGGAGAGAGGTCCTGGGCTGCACAGTTGAACGCGTAGAAAGCGTCAGTCAGCTGTCGCTGCGATACTGTCATGGACATTTTGTCCGCCTTCTGGACATGGCTTTTGGCGTTCGCTTTCAAGATGTTGATGCCCGAACGAGAAGCACGTTGAACTTCATGGCCAGGCGTCCCCGCCGGCGTCCTCCTCACACCTGTTCCTTGCAGCCTGTCCTCAGGTACCATGTCCATCGTGACTTCGATACCGAGATCGGCTGCAATTTCCTCGATCCGAATGAGCTGAGCAGCTTTACACAGATCCGAGGCATTGTTGAGGAAGGTGCCGCATGTGATGCAGGACATCATGCCATGGGTGTAGGTATTTGTGCATGTCGGGCACTGATCTTCTGGCATCTGGATGCCCTCAACGACCATCCATCGAGTGTTGCCATAACCCTCAGTCTCGGGGTGGATCTTGCGCCAATCAAACCGAGGTCGGTTGTAGTTGGGCAGCATCTCTTTGGGCGACACCTGGTTCCTATAGGCGTTGAAATTGGGCCTGCGAACGACATACGTGACCTCGTATGTTTCCAAATCAGGATTCTGCTTTCCTGATATCATTTGGTCTTTCACGCCTGGGCGTTCAAACAGTTCACCGTACACGAATGGGGAAAAAGTGTCCACCTTACCACACCACCTCTCATAGTCACCAAGGACCTGGTAGGTGTACTTTTCCAGTGGGCTTTTCACCATTTCATCGTCATCGGCAACTGGTCCCCCAGTGCGTGCTGAATTGAAGGCTTTTGTTTCACCGGTAATGATGCCGCGATAGTGTGCGTACACATGGTTCGCGAAGGCGTAGCATCGGGACTCCATGTCATACACGTAAATCACGTTCCGGTTTGCCAGCCAGTCAGGGCATAGGATTGTACCAGCAGTTGTTTCTATGAGCCGGTGCCCGTTCAGAATCATCATCTGGAGATCCAAGGCAACGCAGATGGGGCGAGTCGCCGCCATCGCTGCATAGTCAGTGCCCGAAATTGTCCACGGATCTTCCTTCGTCAAGAATGTGAACCTGGCTCCAGTTCGATTGCCGCCGGGAATCAATCCCATGTTGATGATCTCAACCAGTGCTGCCCGGTGCGTGTAGTGATAGAGGATGGTGGGGGCCACCTCCTTCACCTTTCCCAGCGCACCTCGCGGAACCCGAGGGAATTTGCCGGCCAGGTATTCCACCGAAGTATACTCCTCATCGAGAGTGACAAAGCGTTCATGCTCAGGAAGTGCGTCCTTCACGTTGTTGCTTGACCATTCATTATGGTTCTGAATCGCTTTGATCCGGAGAGGTGTATATTGGTATTTTCCACCGACCAAAGTCCCCTTTGGCGCAATCCTCACCTCGAGCATGAATCTGTGATTGGATGTAATGACCGTCAGCAGTTCATCGTTGGTAAGGATCGTACTTCCGCTTGATGAACGAGTACACCTTTCCAAAATCCATCCACAGCCCAGCGTCGAAGCTCGGAGGCTGCACCTTGTGCCAGGATTGTTTACTATGCTCCCACCCTCGGAGCAAGCCCGAGACGCGTCGGGAAATCCAGACTTGTTTCGAGTTCAGGTTCGCCAAATTGGCAGCACCCGGAACCGATCTTGACTGCAACGCCACAACTTCGTTTTCCCCAAAGAGGCGACGAAACGGGAGGCACCGGTGGTGCCCGAGGCATGGCCTTGGCTTTGACAGCTGGTTTTGCTGTCGGGGTCGAATCCGAGGCCACAGCTCCCGCCGGGCGTTTTGGTACTTTGGGCTGAGTTTCCTCTGTTGGCTTCATTTCAACATCGGCCTCAGCTCCCGCCGGGCGTGCTTTTGCCTTCGGTGATGCCGGTTTTGTTTTCGACTTTGCAGTCTCGCTTGGCACTTTTGGTGCCCTCGGCTCACCTGATGCCTTCGCCTTTGGGATCCTCGGTTGTGGTGCCTTGTTGGCCAGGTCGGGCTCGTTCCCCAGAGTTGTAACCTCACGGAACTTCCTGAGTGCCTCACCAGTGAGCTGAGGGATGTCTTCTTCCGCCATGTAGATGCGAATGACATCGCTCTCATCCTCCTTCTTCCTCAACTGGTAGGTTACCCCGGCGACCTGACATGAATCGGCACGCATAGATGTGAGAATCGGTTCCTTGAATACGATCTCCTCATCTGAGTCATCATCTGGCTGATCTTTGTTTTCAAAGCCTTGTTTGATGGCGGAGTCAAGGTGATCTTTGAGAAGTTCATTGACATAGTTTTCATCCGCAATGGGTTCATTGGATACATGAAGCTCCTCTTCTTCCGTGATGGTAACAGGGTCCACCTCGGTGTCACCGTGCTTTGGCATATCAGCGGTGACGGACACGAACTCCATGCCCGGAGTGCTCACGGGAGCCTGGTTGTTTGCATCTCGACCTTCCGTCCCCGGAGGCGAATCAGCGCTGGGCGCAAAGGTGTCGTCAATCTCGATGACTTCCGGCACACTTGCATCCGGCATTGTCTGATCAGCCTTCGACGGTTCAGCCGGGACTTGCACATCCTGACCCTCGTCATAGAAATCCGGACCAACGGTTCCCCGTGGCATATTGTAAAGTCGCTGATTGAATGGCAAGAGCTTGGCAGCTTCAATCTGCTCCTTAGTCGCGTAGACGGGGTCCCCAAGATCATTCATGTGAGCGACCTCGGTAGTCTCAGAGACCGTCAGGAGCCAGCCATTCTTTTGGTCGATGGCAGTCTGCCTCTTTTGACCCGGGATAAGCTCATCGTGCTCGTCAAAGTCACCCAAGAAGAGGTACCCGGAGTCAATGCGTCGCTTCCAGATGTGCTCAAGCATATACTGGCGGTGGGTTTTCTCCCCACGAGGTTTCGCGAAGAGGTTGGCATCTTTGCGCAACACGTCAACGCCAGCGAGCACCCAGTAGTGGTAGGCAAACAAAGCAACGTTTGCGTAGTACTTCACGAACATCGCCCGGTTCTCTTCGGTGTTGTGGCAGTGGAAGTTGTCATACCTCTGACACGATCGAACCAGGGTGGTGCCTGTCACATTCGTGACGCCAAGGCGAGTGAAGACATCCGCTGACTGGCACATTTGACGGGCGTATTCTTCCGGCAGTCCATAACTCTGCGAGTCGCAGTAGCAGATGACAATCAGGGCTGCCACGTCTTTCCTCTGCCTCAAGTCCGCCAGACGCCTCATCTGCTGGGCGTGTTTCTGTGCCAGCTCTGCCTGCCACTCATAGGCTGCTCTCTGCTTGGCAGGATTCCGGTGGAGCACGTTGGTGTCCACCCAAGGATTGCCCACAAATCCGTGGTTGCCGTAGACATCATTTCCGGCATATGATACCACGATGACCGCTGGGGCAACACCTCCCGGTGTGCGACGCCTTCCGTTGTCAAGACAAGCCTCTATTCCGTCAATGATCGCTTCCAGGCC